GTCAATTTGATGTTTTTTGAATGCATTTTTTATTGAGAGGGGTAATAGTATACTGAATTTACACACCCTACACGAATGCTAGAACTTTAACTGAGGACCTTTTATGAGCCACTACATTAGTGGGTCATTTGCAATAGGACGGAAAAAAGGGAGAGCAATCAGTATAGTGATGACCTATTGCAATATAAAGGGCCTTTTCTATTTGTTTCAGAGAAAAGCCCTCAAAGCTGCCTAGAATCTCGGCCCACATACCCCAAAAGTGGCACCAAAGAGAGGAGGAGAGGATAATGACACTGGACTGGATGAACAGAAATGAATGAACATTGGTACAAAATTAAAATTAGGGTAGAGAAGAAAATTAAAAAAAGAGAGGCTAGACTGTAAATAAATGTAAAGACAAACGGAGCTCTCTCTCATGATAATATTTCAGAACCAGTGTCTCCTTGCATCCCTACACCTACACTGTTTCCATGTTCCCCTCATACCACGCCTCATTTTTTTTCAGCTTCTTTCACTCTCAATTATCACTGTACTCGAGTGTGGACCCCCCCACCCCAACCCCCACCACATCATATATTTGGTCTTATTCTCTTTATTAAATTTATGATTTTGATCCTATCTCCTTTTTATTTTGCTTTTGTTTCGGTCATAACTCATAATCATAATGGAAGGCTTAATTATAATGTTCAATTACAATCTCAATCATTTGCTTGTTCTCTAAAGTTCACACACTCTCCCGACCCGTCTTACAATCTTTTACTTATACTATTCCCATTGGATGACACTCTTAATCCCCTCTCAACTTCATTAATGCGCGCCATAAGTGCTGTGGTTAAATCATCATTTCTTTTAAATAATTATTCTTTCTCCATCTTCAGGTTTGCAAAGCAAGTTGCAAAATCAACCTTATAAAATGTTGGGGGTGAGATACATATCATGTACTTACTGTATACAATGGTTTCATGATAGATTTCTTGGTACTAATTGTCATCATGTCCGTTTTATTGTCTATTTCTCGATTTCTCTCCTCTTATGATAAATGACATAAAAAGAGAAATAGAGAGAATATAGAATAATAAACGAAAATAGGGAAGTTTGTTTTCTAAGAGCATGTCCAGCGCTCACCCCAAACCAGGGGAAAGGGCCCCCAGGCGAGCCTAGATGCGCTCCAGCGCGAGAGAAAGAGCCCGGGCAACTGCTGGGTCCCACCAGCCCGGGTTTTGTGACGTCAGTGCTGACGTCAGCACACGGAAATTCAATTTTTTTTTACCGTTGTGCCACGTGTCGCGACATGGATGCTCCGATCGTTTTTTTTTCCAGAAATCCGACGGTCCTCTTTTTTTTGGCTTACCGTTGTGCCACGTGTCGCGACACGTATACAATGGTTCCATGGTAAATGTCTTGATATTGATTGTCATCATGTCCGTTTTATTGTCTATTTCTCGATTTCTCTCCTCTTATGATAAGTGACATAAAAAGAGAAATAGAGAGAATATAGGTGTCAAAATGGTCGTAGCCTCTAATTAGTAGCTCTCATCACGCCCAGTCAACAATTCCATCGGATGATTGCTCAGAGTCGTAGTGGGTTCCACACACCATTCTTACTCCCATTGAGAATATGTTGTGCAGGCTTCGTAAATTGTATTAGCAGCATAATATTATTATTATTTACAGCTTAATTAACTTGTCTTGTATGGCTTGATGAGTTGAGACTGAAGTGAGTACGTAGGAGATTTGACCAAAAGAAAGAAGTGGGTAGGAGGAGGACCATCAAGACTCCGCGGTGGTGGCGAGATGACACAGTAATCTTTATATAATTAGTAAGTGAGATGGGAATTATTATTGTTGTTATTATTTCTTTTCCTCATCTCATTTCATCTCGTCTCATGAAGAAAGGAAGGTTGTAAGAAAATCGAAGCAAGGTGCTTGCATGTGTGACACGCGTCACATACCGAGCGGTGTTTGGAATATACGAATTATTGAGCGTTTCAAAGTTAAACTAGAAATTAAGTGCTGGATTATCTCAGAATTCTGCTTGTTTAAGTTCCAAAGCGCTGTTGAACAGAGTGCAAGAGAGAAAGTAGCTACTATCACACACTCGATTTCAGCGTCAAAGATAGATCGTCCGATGTCGACTATTTTCATGATAAAAAAATCGCCGAATAGATCACAAGTCCACAACCCAACCAATCTTGAGAATACGATGTCGTATTGTGGAATTCGCGATCCAATCCCACCAACCCACCTACTGACCAACTCTAAATCAAATTGTTTTTAATGTTTTAAATTAATAACGGAGGTGGGCCTCTGTATAGCAATTCCAAAGGATTGGATATATATTGCACGGTCAAAATATTCAATAGCTTACGTTTTTTTTTTAACCATTAAAAATAATATAAAATAGGGATTGATTTTCCCACTCACTTTTTGTCTAATTACACTCATACTTTTTATTATAACAACAAAAAGAGTGTAAGAGCATCTCCAACCAATATGTCAAAAGTACCATATAAATATTTAACGGTTAGAAATAACATCTCACATCACTCAAATCGAATTGTAAAAACTGATGTGGAATGAAGACTGGAGGTTCAGTTATTATTTTTGACATTTCAAAAGCAAATATGTCAAATGAATATTTTATTATTTTTTAAAGACAACTAGTATTTACTTTCATTTATTATTATTATTATTTTTTCTTTTTTATCTTAAATGATTTGACTGTTAGAATAATTATTTATTTGACATATCGGGTGGAGTGTAAAACTATGTAAATATCAAATTTCCACATCAGCCATCAAATTTAAATTTGATGTTTGATATTTGACATCTCCCTTGGAGATGTTCTAAGTGGATAAAAGATGAGTGAGAGTATACAATTGTCAATAAAGAAAGTGTAAGTAGCCGAAAGAGAAGTGAGAAAATCAACTCTCTATAAAATATTTAGTAAATTACAATATTGCATAGGGTGACGATTTTACCCATGCGTATGCTGGTACCATGGAATGCAACAATAGGCAGTGCCGCAGTGGATGATTTTGTAATCATGTAAACCGTAATACGAGCCATGTTAATGTGGAAACGTGACAGCAGCTTTTCCCTACCCCCAAAAAATAAGAAAAATAAGAAGGTCGCCAATTTCCCATTTTAGAGACCCACATGATCACATCGTTAAATATAAGTCACAAGTTGAAATGATGTTTTGTCCAAAAAAAAACAGAAAAGAAAAAAAGAAATGATGCGCACCGACCTATTTACGTATATAATTGGTCGAACTCTAGTCTCTATCAATATTAATATCATGAAATATGACATTCGGACCAAATGACAGGAAAACAATGGCTTGTTCCAGTTTATATTTTCCTATCTTAAGTAAGTTGACAATTTCTTTTGCTAAAAGTTAAAACACAACAAAACTATTCTTTAAAAAGAAAAAGAAATAGGACATGAAGAAGAAGAAGCATTTATTATTAATAATAATTTAATCATGGTAAAAGTGTGTGAGAATGGAGAACGTAAGCTAGTGGAGTGATCGGAATTTAAAAAAGGAAAGAAAAGACGTCAAGTGCAAACGAGACGTGTGAAACGCAGAAACGGCGCCGCGACGGATCAGACAGGAATCTGACACGTGGCACCTACATTAACCCTGTTGATTATATTTTGTCGTGAACGGCACGCGTGATGTTCATCAGTTCAGTCAAAACACCGGACGCAAGAAGAAGAGCCGAGTCAGAAAGCAGCTTTTCTTTTATTTCTTTTTTCTTCTCTTCCTCTTTCCAAAACCAACAAAAAAGAAAGAAAAAACAAACCCTAATTATTAATTATTTATCTATATATGAACAGCTTCATTTCATATACAAATAAATAAATAGAATACAAGTCTTACAAGAGAGTAGTGAAAAGTGGGTAGTATCTTTAGCTATATATGCAAAAGCTGACAGAGAATAGGACCCTGCAAATCCTCGTAATCCACGTGCTAAAATACGCTATATTGACATTCTTTGTTTTTTTTTTCCACATTAAAATAGCTCTTACTAGTCCCTCCTTTTTTGAAAATCTCTCTCTCTCTCTCTCTCTGATCTTAGAGAGAGAGAGAGGAGGTTACTGTACTGAATCAGTACTGTACTGTTTTCGTGTTCAGCTACTCTTGCTCTGCTTTTTTGCTCTTTTCTTTATTATCACACTAGGACGCAAATGCTGTAGAAGAAGAGAACTCTTAAAAACATTACTATTATAACAATAAATATATTATATTATCATTCTGCTCAACAGTTTAAAGCTGCAACGGAATCACCCCTATACAGAAAGTGTGTGCGTAGGATTGGAGCATGCACACACACTCTTTCCAGTTTCAAAGCAAAACAAAGCAAACCAAAGGAAAGAGAGAAACTTTACTAAGATAGAGTGAGAGAGATCCTCTGTTCCCTTTGTTTATTGTGAAAGAGAGATACAATCAGTAGGATAAGTGGGTTCATCGAAAGGTCGGTTTCTTTTGGAGGGTAAAAACAAGCACTCGATTAAGAGAGAGACAGAGAGAGACAGAGAGAGAGGGTACTCAAGACTCATGCTTTGGTCCGCGTGCTTTGATGAAAACTGATGGGTCTTGGTTTGTTCCAAATTAAAGCCCCACTACTTCTTAAAAAAGATCGCTGCAGTGCCTTTGTTCAGTTTTTGTTCCTTGATTTTGCTTCTACTCTGAAGGGTTTTGTGTGGGCCTTCTGCTTTTGTGCCCAAACATTGGATTGGATTGGATTGTTTGTTTTCTCTCAGAATATGGGATTCTCAGAAATGGGTCACTCTTAATTTGAACAGATCATATGCGACAAACGGATCTGCTGGGTCATCTACAGAGCAATTCTTGGATTTTTAGATGAAAAAATGAGAGATTTCTTGCTGGGATGTAACGGCTTTTTGTATTGGGGTTCCCGGTTTTGTATTAAAGATGTTAAAGTTTGCTTCTTTTGGCTGAGATAGAGAGGGACTCGCAGCAACTCATGATAATGGGCTCAGTTGAGGAGAAGATTAAAGCAGGGGGCTTGCTTAGTGGTGCACAATCAAGCATACTTGATGAGATGAAGCTATTGAAAGAACTTCAGGATCATTCTGGTTTGTTCCCTTCATAAAAACTCTGCCTTCGTTGATTTGATTTTAGAAGTTTGAATCTTTAACGTCTGGGCTGAGAATGGAGCACGTTGAGCACACTTAATAACCCCTTTTTATACTTCGTAATTAAATGCCTTCTTTGTTAATTGTTATGCGAAACTATTAAAAGTCGTGTCTTATTACATTTGCTCCTGGGATAATTGCGTTCAGGGTCCCGGAAGGCTATAAATTCAGAGTTATGGCATGCCTGCGCCGGCCCACTTGTTTGTTTGCCTCAGGTGGGAAGTCTTTCATATTACTTCCCTCAAGGACACAGCGAACAGGTTTGGATTAGTTTCTCACCCTCTTTAGTAAGATCCACTCATAAGTCCAGCATCTTTACATATCAGACGGCTTTATAGTAAGATATTTGCTGGGTAGGGGATTAGGGGATTAGGCTGTTTTACCATTCGCTTTAAGAAACTTAGAAAATAAATATGCTACATTTTAAGATATGTCACAGCTTCAAAGTTGATCTGTTTCTGTTTATACCAACGCTATGTGACAGCTGATGAACATTTCCTATGTAAATGTAGGTGGCGGTTTCCACGAAAAGAACGGCAACCTCACAGATTCCCAACTATCCGAATCTCCCATCTCAGTTGCTATGCCAAGTTCAAAATGTTACACTGCATGTATGTGTTTTGGCTGACTATTACTTGTTCCCTTCACATATGAACATACTATCAAAAAGTTCTGCAAGAATGTCTATGTTTTTTTCACTCTTGTATTATGTTTTAATAGGCAGACAAAGAAACCGATGAAATCTATGCACAGATGAGTCTTAAACCAGTGAACTCTGTAAGCTTAGTTACTATTTACACATGCCTTAAATTTATCACATTTTTATCTATTCTTAGCAGTAAAGTTGTGAATTATGGTAAATAATTTATTGTTGTATCAGGAAAAGGATATCTTCCCGGTACCAGACTTTGGACTAAAGCCTAGCAAACATCCAAGTGAATTTTTCTGCAAAACTTTGACTGCAAGTGATACAAGCACACATGGGGGCTTCTCTGTGCCGCGCAGAGCAGCAGAAAAGCTCTTCCCTCCACTAGTGAGGCTTTCTTGATTTCCTGTCTCTTTGGTGTTTGGGAAACCTCTTCATGCTATATTGGAAGAGGATGATGTGGATTCACATTGTTCTTGTCATGTATTGCAGGATTTCACAATGCAACCACCAAGCCAAGAACTTGTTGTCCGAGACTTGCATGATAATAGCTGGACATTTCGCCATATTTATCGCGGTGAGAATGTTTAAGTAGTTGCTTCTATCCTATGTTGTGTTAAGTGATGTGAAGTCGACTTGTTGGTTATGGTTGTAGAAGATAAATTCTTGTTTGATATATTTTTCCCATAAATACTATTTTTTCCTGTTGAAATATTTCTTGAGTATATCCTATTTTTGTCCTTCCATGTAGGGCAGCCGAAGCGGCACCTTCTCACAACTGGATGGAGTTTGTTTGTTGGTGCAAAGAGGCTTAGAGCAGGTGATTCGGTGCTGTTTATCAGGTACAAAGTAATTACCTGCTTGTACTTCTCGCAGTCCTTATGGTAAACATTGTTGCCTACATTGATGTTGAAATGAGTTCCAAGTTTTCATGCTGTCAAGTTCCAAATATGAGTAACCATTAACTTTGGTGCTATGCTCGCTGAATAATTGCAGATACAATGTTTTCCAATTTGTTTAAAATTTCTACTATTTTTGTGTTGGGCCTGTTAAACAACACACACACATATTGGAATTACGTTGTCAGTTACCACTGACTGTTGTCTGATTGTATATTTGCGTCACTATCACAAGGGATGAGAAGTCACAGCTAATGATTGGTGTGAGACGAGCAAATCGTCAGCAAACAACGTTGCCGTCATCAGTTCTATCTGCTGATAGCATGCACATTGGTGTCCTTGCTGCTGCCGCTCATGCTGCAGCCAATCGAAGTCCATTCACTATATTCTACAATCCAAGGTTTGCATGAATGCGTGTTCTTTTACTGATTTGTATTTCGCACATATATATGTACTCTACTCTATATATGTGTATTTTGCGAAGTTTTCCTTGACTGTGCTACTATTTCTACTTTACCGTAGGGCATGCCCTTCAGAATTTGTCATACCTTTGGCTACATACCAAAAGGCTATATATGGGACCCAGCTCTCAGTTGGAATGAGGTTTGGAATGATGTTCGAGACAGAAGAGTCGGGTAAGCGCAGGTAATGGCCGAATTGCATTGTATATTAATTATGTGCCACAACATGTCATGATGAAATAAACAGCAGTGATTGGTGTTGTCAACCCTTTTAATGGTTCTAGATATCTGTCTGGTCTTTATTAATCTTTTCAATGATGATAGAATGCAGCAGGTTTCAATATTTTCTGCATGATACATTAACATCATCATTATCAATGTGATAATGTTATGTTCATTGCTTTAATGCGTGGCCAGAGGTTAACATTTTTGCATGTTCTCTGCAGGTATATGGGTACAATAGTCAGTACTAGTGATTTAGATCCACTGAGATGGCCTGGTTCAAAGTGGCGGAATCTTCAGGTGGCTTAAGCTACTTTGAGCTTTTACTAAGTGATCTTGCTTTTATGTTCCCTAATCAATATTATAATGAAAGGTTTTTCTGTTTTCTTTGAATGTTCAACTTTTGATTCTTCTACATTCACTTCATTAACAGGTAGAGTGGGATGAGCCAGGGTGTTGTGATAAACAGAACAGGGTTAGTTCGTGGGAAATTGAGACTCCTGAAAATCTTTTCATATTTCCTTCTCTGACTTCGAGTCTTAAACGGCCACTACACTCTGGATTCTTAGGTAAGTTTTTTATTCTGTTTTCATGCAAGAAAGTCTGTTAGATGTTTTTTTATGACTGTTTTTTGTGCTACCAGGAGCAGAAACTGAGTGGGGAAATTTGATTAAAAGACCATTTATCCGTGTTCCTGAGATTGGAAATGGGAACTCATTTCCGTACTCGATTTCAAATCTATGTTCGGAACAGCTAGTCAATATGCTACTGAAACCTCAACTTGTTAATCATGCTGGAACTTTAGCTGCTCTACAACAGCAATCACCTGCTAATGGAGATCTAGTAGCAGATATGAAGGCCATGCAGGCCAAACTCAACCAAAAGAATCCGGGTGTCTTTTCAGAAGGTACATCTCTACAGAGTCAAAACCCTCCCCAATCATCTCTGGATCAATCTGCTACAATAAACGTGAATACAACATCTCATGCAATTCTACCAGGAAAGCTGAACAACCTAACAAAGTTTGGAAGTCAAGCGCCAGTTGGAAATAGCACTGACAAGACAAAATTAGAAACTGATTTTTCTGCCGATCAGTTAAGCCAGTTGAATTCTACAGGACTGGGAATTGAAGATAAATTGGCTGCAGGGTTTGTTAGTCCCTATAACCTTGTGAACCAGCTGACATTTACCAACCAAAACCAAAGTGCAGCGCAACTACAAACTAGCCCACGGCCTATGCAGCCGCCTTTGGAATCATTACTTTACCACTCCCAACAAACTGATATGCCTAATTCAGATTTCAATAGCACAAATGGGTCGCTTCCATTCCTAGACAATGATGAATGCATATTTTACCAGTCCTGTCAACCCTTTGCCGGGACACTTAGATCACAGGGGCCTTTGTCTGTGTTTGGTTTGCAAGATTCTTCAGCTGTTTTAACTGAAGCAAATAATTCCTCCCTAACTTCAATTGGTCAGGAAATGTGGGATAATAGCCTGAATAATTGTAGGCTTTTACCCCAAGTGGATCAGCTTACTTCATCCCATCAAGGTCCTGGTAGCCTTAATTGTATTTCTAACTCAAGCAGTCTCAGAGATTTGTCAGATGAGAGCAACAATCAAAGTGGGATTTATGGTTGTCCAAACGTTGATGTTGGTAGTGGTGTAAGCACTGTTATTGACCCTTCTGTTTCAAGCACCATACTGGATGAGTTTTCTACATTAAAGAATGCAGATTTCCACAACCCCTCAGATTGCTTGCTTGGTAACTTGAGCTCGAGCCAGGATCTTCAGTCACAGATTACCTCTGCAAGCCTAGGAGACTCCCAGGCTTTCTCCAGGCAAGACCTGGCAGACAACTCAGGCGGTACATCCTCAAGCAATATAGATCTTGATGACAGCAGTCTACTGCAGAACAACAGTTCATGGCATCAAGTGGTTCCTCCTGTGCGAACCTATACAAAAGTATGCATTTTTTTGATTCCTTAAATTTATGATTTTGTTGAGGTTATCCGTTGTTTCAACGGAGTTTAATGGATTTGGTTTTGGCTGACAGGTACAAAAGACGGGATCTGTTGGAAGGTCAATTGATGTTACTAGTTTCAAAAACTATGAAGAACTATGTTCGGCAATTGAATGCATGTTTGGACTGGAAGGGCTGCTAAATGACCCAAGAGGTTCAGGGTGGAAATTGGTTTATGTGGATTATGAGAATGACGTTCTACTTGTTGGGGATGATCCTTGGGAGTAAGTAAACCAACTTGCTGCTATTAATTTAGATTATACTGCCAGATTCTGAATTTTGATGGTTTTCACTTGTGGATATTTTTGCAGGGAATTCGTTGGTTGTGTTCGCTGTATCAGAATCCTTTCACCAACAGAAGTTCAGCAGATGAGCGAGGAGGGAATGAAGCTTCTGAATAGTGCTGCAATGCAAGGGATTAATGGCACCATGTCCGAAGGTGGCCGTACTTAAGGTGGCTGCCTCTGACCGTGCCAGATTGCACGATAGGTTTGCAACTAGGATGCATTGTTGAGTTGTTTCCGGCTTGATTGTGCCTGATGTATTGATCTTACTATGCATTCAGAAAACTCAAGCCAGGTCAGTTGATGTGGCTACTAGTGTACTTTAGCTTTTGTGCTTTAGGTGGATTTGATGTATTAATAGCTGACATTAGTTTGCAGGAAGTGAAACTAGATGAGGAAACTGTACTAGTGGAACGTTTGTGCTTGATGTAGCTTTTTATATCTACTAAACACGGCAGAGTTGAAACTTATATATTGAAGCATTAATATAGTTGAAGCAGACTATTGACATAAGATATAGATACCTCTGGTCTCTGAAAGAGGTTATAAAACTAGATGGTTAATTTATCATACTTTTCTTGGCTTAAAGCCTGAAACCACAGAATTGAAATTACCAGTACAAAGATATTAGATAACTGATACTTCCAAGTTCTTGGGGGAAAACACAGACCATGCTAACTAACTAGGATCAGAGAAGGCCATGCATATTTGAATGCTAAACCCTAAACCCTAAATACATTCAAGAACACACTATGATTCTTTCATTCCCTAACAATTCATTGTCCAGAGAACAGAACAACTAATACCCCCTGAAGTACAAATCAAGAAACAAAATAGCTTTTAAATTACAGAACAGATTCTACCCCCAGCTTGCAGTAGGGAAAATTAACAATTGATGATGCCCTTATTGCGACGTGGAAGAAATTTCACGAGGATGTTAAAAAGCAATGAAGCCACACAAATTTTGTGCAGAAGAAGCTAGATAGAGCATCAAGTACCCGATCATCATACTCTAACTGGTTTTTGCAGAACGGCAGACAAATAAACTTCAGACTTTCCTGACCCTGCTGCATCTACCTTATCCCCAACAACCCATTTCAGCTTTTTATATCCAAACCGCTCGATCAACCTGGTTAAATCCCTTTTCTTTTCCTCATTGGAGCAATAAAAGTTGTCTAACCAAAACAAACCTCCAGGCCTCAAAATTCGGTCTATGTCAAACATTACGAACTCGAATTTTTCAGGTTTGCCCCCCAACATCCAATCCACTGGCCGCATGAACCAAATCGAACACATTATCGTAGAAAGGAAATCTATGATCTAAACTCAAAAAGAGAGGGAAAAGCCCCCTTGCAGCTATGAATTCGCTAAATGGGGCATCAATGTTCAAAGTGTTGGTGATCACAGTCATGTTCCTCTCTGCCATTCTAGCAGCAAAGGTACCAGACCCACCTCCAATATCAAACCCTATTCTGATTCCTCCACTTCCTAGAGCTAAAACATCATCAATCAGGAAATCATTCTTGCCTCTAGCCTTAACAAATCTCTGATTCTCAAACCCATTAACCAAATCAAAGCAGCCAATACAGTCTCTACTCAATTTCTTACTATTCAAGCACTCAAAACTCTTACACCCAAGACCACTCCAAGTAACGATCTTATCACTAACAGGTTTCCAAAGTGAAATGGGAAAAGGGTTTAGACCCACCTTGGGAAGAGTCTTGGCAAAGCACCTCCTTCTGGGCAAGGGCTCACATCCACGCAAAATCAGCTTCTGGGCAAGACTCCAATCGTCAGGGCAAGGCCCGGAGACCTTGTAATTCATGTACTGAGACAACAAGTCCGCAGATTTCTCGCAGGAATGACCTACGGAAGCCACCATTTCAGTGATCCCAGTTCTCGAATCTTTGCCTAGAGGGAGCTGGTGATGCTGAAGGAAGAGTTTGAGCTCGTGTGCAACGTTGGATCTCGAAAGATCGATGCTTTCGTAGCCAAGGAGCTCCTTTTCCATCTGAGCTAGTTTTTTTTGTGAGGAATCGATCTCTCTGAGGATCAGAGAGACCTGCTCTGAGATGAGAGAGATGTTCTTCTGGGTGTGGTGAAGGAGATGGTAGGTTTGTTGGTCTTTTGGCGAGGATGTGAAGGCGTAGAGAGCGAAGAGATTAGTCGTGATGACAGAGAAGAGCATGAGAAGATTGACGGCTGATGAACATAGCGTTGCTCTTTTGAATCTGGCTGTTCCATCACCAATCTTCAGAGAAACAGAGCCCATCTTGGTTCTGCTTCTTCCCCAAACGAGGGACTTCTCTGAGTGAGTGAGATTGTGTACCAACTTCACTGAACAAGTTGAGTGTAGTGGTGGAGAAATGACTAAACAATTGTTAAGTAAAAGAGTGGAGTGATTTGTGAATTTAAGACACCGTAACTTTGTCAAGGGTCAGGAGTCAGGAACATTGTTGTCGGCTGCGATTGTAACGTGTAAAGAGAGTCAAAAGGGGAATGATATGTGGTTCAAGTTCAACAAAATCTCTGGATTTGTTCAACTTAATTTAGTTTTTCAGGAAAAAAGGGAGAAATTTAATTGAATTGTACAAGGAGAAGTAGTTTGAGATCAGATTTAACCATAAAACCTAATGTCTTTCCTAATTATTATAGCATGGCATTCTTAGAGACACTTTTCTTTTGTTTTTGGAGAGATTGGGGGGTGGCGGTTAGCGAGTTAAACCATAATAAAAGTCTACATTTGATCCTTGCTAAAGGATGCGGATATCATAAGGCCAATATCATTACCCATCACTCCAAAAAAGTCGAAGATCAACTTGAGTCTTACGACTCTGACAAAAGTTTGAAAAGCTAACGACCATTGAGCTAAAATTGTTGGCAAAAGTTTCACCATAGTCCATACAGGATCTCCGCCCTCAATGTCAAAAAATTAGCTTAAGGAATTACAAGATATTCACATTACATTAAGACAGAAAAACCAATACAAGACCAAGACGAGTTCATGCTGATAGCACCAGATGACACACATCAAGCACGTCGCTTACTAAGACGCCAAGAGTTCGGTTCATGGTATCTATCATATAGCGGTTCAATACGTTCTTGACGCTTGCACTTGCTCATCTTGGTGGGATCTGCCACTTTGAAGAACCTGGGTGCCAGTTCCACGAGCCATTTGGGGTCGACGACCGTCACCTTGCTCATGTACTCCTTTGTAGTCATAACCAGTTCATGGTAGATCACCCAATCTGGTTGTCTCTGGAAGAGGGCGCTGCTATAATGCTCTGAAAACAGTGTATGAGGTAACATCAACATGACAATTTGTAATGATCTATTCACTGCTCAGGTACCAAATATATCTAGATTTTAAAATACAAACTAGGCCTGAACAACATTTCAGCATTTCTGTCAAGTACAGACAGCAAAAAACATGCCTAATTCACGACTACTGCAAAAATACAATGTACCAACACATGAGCAAACCTAGGACATTAATCTACATCTTTTAAAACCATTCATGCACATGTGAAACCAGAAAAAAAGATCCATGCAACCACGAATACACATCAAGATAAATTAGAAGAACATACTTGTCCATGATGCTGAGAAGCTGTTTTCTGACATCCTGTGCCCTCCTCAAGGATTGAGACTGAACAAAGTTCTCAAAACACCATGGCCCTGAAAAATTCTTAGCTTTCCAAGGCTCATAGACTGCAAGTAAAGTCAGATGATCTCCCTCTGGCTGGAAAAACTTGGCTCTCTTCTGATCTGCCTGCTTGTTTTTCCCTAGGCCTGTAAAAAATATTGCCTGTCTGAATCATTGCAATGATGGTCAAGATCTCATCACTGCATCCAAGGTCCACACTGGCCAATAGCATCTTAGATAAGGGTGGATCCAGAGGAAACTCAGCCATTTTCCTACCTAATTTGGTGAGCAGCCCCTCCTCATCCCGTGCTCCTAAACTGTACAATTGCTCCATGGCAGAAATGAGTGCTTGGGGTGAAGGAGGATCCATAAAATCAAAAGACGAGATCATTTATCCCCATAGCTTCCATCGTAAGTGTAGTACTACAATTTGGTGAGCAACCCCTCCTCATCCCGTGCTCCTAAACTGTAAAATTGCTCCATGGCAGAAATGAGTGCTTGGAGTGAAGGAGGATCCATAAAATCAAAAGACAAGAGATCATTTATCCCCATAGCTTTCATCGTAAGTGTAGTAGTACCAAGATTTATCCTCTGGATTTCTGGAATTGAAGTAAGGGACATCTCATTGCGGTATGCACTCTCAGTGTAGAGGCAGTAACATTTCCCAGGGCCTGTACGCCCAGCACGCCCAGCTCGTTGCTTCACTGATGCTTGGGAAATTGGAGTTATGACCAGTGAATCTAGCCCCTGCTTTGGGTTATAAACATTTTGCTTTGCAAAACCAGGATCAATGACATAAAATATCCCATCAATGATCAGTGATGCCTCAGCAATATTAGTAGCCACAACTACTTTCCTCTTACCTGGTGGGGCAGGATCAAATATCCTTGACTGCAGTTCACTAGGAAGGGCACTATACACTGGTAGGATAATCAACTCAGGGACATTTTTACCAAGACCTTTCATCCTCTCATAAAGAGACTGGCATGCAAAATCAATCTCTTCTTGTCCAGTCAAGAAAAGAAGGATGTCACCTTCAGGTTCTGTTAAATGTATTTGTAAAACAGTTATTAGAGATGCATCAAGGTAGTCACTTTCGGGCTGTTTAGTGTAGAGTATCTCTACAGGAAAAGTTCTCCCAGGGATAGTGAAGATGTTACAGTTGAAAAAATAACCAGAGAACTTCTCCGCATCCAAATTAGCAGATGTGAAAATCAAACGAAGGTCTGGTCTCTGCTTCACGAGCTTCTTCAGCAGTCCAAAAAGAACATCTGTGTGGATTGTCCTCTCATGAGCTTCATCAAGCATGACCACAGAATATTGAGAAAGGTTCTCGTCAATCAAAATCTCCCTAAGAAGCATACCATCGGTCATGTACTCTGGACCAGTGCAATCCTCAAATCGAATTTCATAGCCAACTTCCTCTCCTAAATGACAACCAAACTCTTCAGCAACCCTCTTGGCCACAGACATGGCAGCCACCCTACGTGGCTGTGTACAACCAATCTTACCCATTGTCGTGTTACCCGCTTCTGCAAGATACTACGTTACCTGTGTTGTCTTACCTGAAACAGTCTCACCAATGACGACGAGCACTTGGTTCTCATGCACCGCCGCAATCAATTCTTTATTCAGCTTGTAGATAGGCAAGCTCTGCCTCTGTTCCTGGATTGAGAGTTTTGACCTCTGCCCAAAACTGATGGTTTTCCCAAAAGCATCATTCTTCCACTCAGGCATAACATATGCCGACAAACCAACACCTCTAAGTTCTTGTGCAAGATGCCTCTCACCAGTCTCTGGCATTGGATCTTCCGAGGGACGATTGACATCCTTTGGGATAGAATCCAACATGGTTCTTAGCTGCTGCTCACGCACTTCTCTACGCTCCTTAATGAGTGTGGACTGAAGTGCAGCTGCACGACCCAGTGACCCTTCTGGATTCTTAAAGATTTTCACAGGTGACATATCAACAGAATACCTGCTCTGTCCATTTAAAAAGGCTGGCTCGTCCTCATTGAGCTCAATCTCAAGCTCTTCCTCAGCTCCCTCTTCTTGATAAAGCATCCCATCTGTTTACTCATCATACATAGGATACTCTGTAACACCCAAAACACCCAAGGCAATCAACTGTTTGGCTTCCCACTTCTCCGGCGAACTCATTCTCTTCAATGGCCGGTGTGATGGGCCAACATCATCCTCTTCCACAATCCTAATCCCAGAAAGACCAGTCCTAGTCACAGGTCCATCCTTTGAAAAAGATGGGTTCGTCCTAAGAGCATCATCCTCTGAGCTATACTTAAAGGGGAGCAAATCCTTCCCTGTATATTGATCAACATCCCTCATCGAAAGGCTCAACTTCTGACCTGAAATTGAAATCACCTTCACATAAACTTCCTGATCCCTCTTCACCACATCCTTAGCATTACTAATTCGCTGAGTTGCCATCTGTGAAACATGAACCAGACTCTCATTCCGTCTTAAATCATTCAACTGAACAAAGCAATCGGTGTCCATCACTCTGGAAATCCTGCCCTTATAAACCTGATACAATTTGGGCTCATCCGAATGGTTCTGGCCATTCCGCCGATCCCTATTACCTCTCCTATCATCACCATCTTCCTTAACATCTCCATCGTCTTCATACCCATCTCTCTTATGCTTATTGTATCGATCTGTATGCCTTCCCCTGTCATCACCATCATCATTATAATGTGTATCTCGACGCCTCTCATCTCTATCATACCTTTCCCTTCGCCTCTCCCTCCCATCTCTATCTCTACCTCCTCTATGTCTATCTCTATCTCCTTCACTATATCTATCCCTACCTTTATGCTTGTCTTCTTCTCGCCCTTTGTGTTGTTGTTCTCTTCCGTTTCTCTTTTCCTTGGTCTCCAACTCAATTTCCTTCTCGATGTCCTTGACTCCCTCTTCTTGATAAAGCTCCCCACTCTGCATATGAGTTCGAGTCTCCCTCCCCGTAGTTTAGATTAGATTAAAGTAGAATATCGTTTCCTATAAAAAAAATATTGGCCAATGATTTAACAAAATCGAACATAAAATCTCGAATGCTTATAACTTGTCCTTTTTGCTGTCGTAAAAGAAGTCGTGTTACAGTTGCATAATGTAGTGTAAACAAAAATTTACGTTTTGTGCTGTAGTTGCGAAGGTAAATGCTCTACCACCAAAATTATAAATCCCAAATTTTCTGTTTTGATACCCTTCGGAGCTGAAAGATGAGAAGAGATTATGGTACAAAAGTAATAAAACATAAAAAATTTGCTTTCAAGAATCAAGACTACACAAAAAATGCCAACGATTGAACTAAAAATAAAAGAGTGAAACAGGAGCAAAGACCACTCTTACACATAGCTTCTTCAAGGATACTACTTATGCAACTACAAAACAACAATCCGAAAAGGCTGGCACTCAGCCTATTGTTGAAGCTTCTAAAGGGTAGGAGTTGGTCAATGTAATATTACTAACTAATCATAAAATAAACGTTCTTCTGGCAAAAATTTCTAATGATCTTTCCCTGCTAACGACTTCAGCCCGTCAATGTTTAGCCTTGGCTTCAGCTTTCTTATGTGACTTGGCCTTCATCTAATAATCAAAAGAACAAAGTAAATAAACATCTATACAATGCAAGAAAAATATGTATAATGTACCAAAGCAAGTGAAGGTTCTCTTTCTTAATTTTTTCTCAAGGCAAAGCAAATGGAGGAGAGGAAAAGTTCAACGATTCTCCTTTCAAAAGTATCTGAAAATTCCAAAACACTTCTGCAAAACTAAAAATCCTAGATTTCAGAAAAATCTGCAACTTCGGAATTGAATTGGCACCTTGGAATCTACAAATTTTGGAGTTGAAATCAAAAGCACATTTGAAATCCTGAAAGTAGTTTCAAAGACCCCACTCAGGCCTCGGGACCTAACTACTATGAAACAGACTGATTTATGCAACAGAGGCATATTAGCAATTGTCAGTTCTCAACCACCAGCTCATTTTACTTTGCAAAAGCAATTAAAGGGCCATAAGATCAAATGCAGTGCTGCCTAGAAATCTACTCACATGAAAAGGCCAAAAATCAAACAAGAACAACCAACCTGAAGCATATAAAATTAAATATGCGAATGAGGGACTTGGTTTTAATCACATGGCATGTAATCAGTAAGAATAACCACACCACATATATATTATAATATATATCAGTAACAGAACCACAGAAACAATAGACAAGTTGAAATGACTAAGGGAACAAAGATTGCTTTCAACAAGAAAACATGGGTTTGGGACAAAATGCTCTGTATGCAAATCTGTATACAAAAGTTGAATCATTTTTAAATCCCATAGCATTGTATTGCTAAAAGAATGAATAAGCAGACGCGCAAACAGGATCGCCAATCAGTTCGAACTATACTTATCATCCGTAATTTTTAGCAAATATAAATATGAAATAAGAACAAGTCAAATCGAAGGAGATCAGGAAGCACCTTGAGAACCCTGAGCTTCACGCTTCCATAAACCAGACCGAAAGTGAAGGCCGATGCACGAGCAACCTATCAAACATTCAAAATTTAAAGAAAGAAACTTTACGATCACATTCCTCCGCAGAAGAGATGAGCGGGAAAGGAAAGGAGTGTACCAAGGCGAGGGTGCTGGTGCCAGAGTAAGGGCCTGGAGGTGGTGCCATTGGATTCGGTGATGAAAATCTCAGCTTAACTCGTCGAGTGCTTGCAGCAAAACCCTAATCAGATTGCAACCCCTGAGCTTGAGCGGTGTTCAGTCTGCTCTCCACTCCACTCCACTAGTTTCTTCTATGTATAATGTATCCTGTATCTTGGACCCGAATTGAAAAAAGGTCGGGTTGCTGGATTTGGAAATGCCCTTAACATCCAGTCAATAACCGTTACCCGAAACGTGGCATGATTTAAGCATCACTCCTGCCACGTGGCGGTTTCCTCACTGACATAAAACGACACCGTATTCTGAGATCGTTCTAACTAAACGCAGCAGATAGGTCGGTAAGTTGGCGCAATATCTTGAGAAAAGAAAAGAACCGGTTGCGGAGAAAATCCAGCGAAAATGGGTGCATCAACTTCGACTGAGCAGAAAGTTTCGATCGAGCAACGAGAGGCGGAAGCCCTAGCAGCCTCCACTGGAGCTCTTTCTATGCTTCAGAAATCTTTCTCCAGCCTCGCCGATCCTGATTCTAATGCAATTCCCCTCAACTCTCTTCAGGTACATTAAATACGCCAACTCAACTCCGCGAATTCAATTTTCATTCTATGCCTCTATAAACCAGAAATTGAAGCTTTTGCGTTTCAAATTTTCAGCAATGCTTCTCTTTAACTTACAAGAACCCAGTATGTGAAGCTCTTACAGTGCCTGATTCTTTTCCGATGCTGTTGGATCATCTTGGTTCGTCAATTTTGGACCTGATTTTCATCTCGGAGAAAGGCGGAGTGAGCTGGGTTGAGTTCGTTAGAGGCTATAATAAGTGCTGTGCAAGAATGTCTGCGTCTATGTCGCTTAATATATTGCTCAGAGTGTTTGCTGTGACACTTCAAAAGGCGGGTTCGCCTTCGAACTTGGAATTTGAATCTGATGATGTTGAGTGTAAGATAACCGGGTCGCTTAAGCCCGTGGACGTGCTTATGCTTCTTTGGATGTGTTGGGCCATTTCCTGGAATTCTAGGACTTCGAAAATTTCCAAAGAGAAAACAGATTTACCTCTGCCGGATATTAATCAGATTGTTTTGTCGGCTATTGTTTCATGCGCTGACGTTGGCAGTGGCTTGAATGTGTGGGATTGCCAGCTTTCGGGTTTGGAAGTTGAACTTCCTGTGGGGAAGTTTCTTTCTTGGGTTGTGAGAACAGTGCCTTGTCTCTCAGATTGCTTTTCACAGTTTGTGTATGCAATTCTCAAAAACTGTGTTTCTCACAAGGTATCTAACATCTTTTCAATTGAACAAAATCATAAGCCTTCATGTTTCCATTTCTCTTATATTTCATTATCTTGTTGCCTTGCCAATACGATATCAGGTATTTGAGCTTATGGGTTAAGGACTCGTTAAGACATAATGGGAAGTGCACTCAGTCAGAACCTTTTATGTATTGAGGCACTTGCTTATAGAACGAGTTGCTATTTTAGATCACTCAAGTTATTTTTGAACTTGGAAATTTATATTACCAGAATGAAACGGATTTTGATGGCAGGATGGACTAGAATGCTCAACTTCATCAGTGGTAGAGAATTCTTCAACCATGGCATACAGTTCTCATCTTTTGTCTAGTGGAATGGCGTGGGCGATTTCCCTTACATTGAGGGGCACAATAAGTGAAGAGATATCAAAAGTATGCTTTCCCTGCGAGACTGATGGAATAGACAAGAACCTACTTTACAGGTGTGTCGTTTTATCCCCTTGATCTTGTGTTGTTTGAATTCTTTCCTGCGCAATCGCATTCCATGTCGATCGTCTCTGTTCTGGTATTATTAAATTTTAGTACTTTCATGAATATTACCTCAGTACCAATATATACAAGCATAATATCCTGAAATATTTATTTTATTGTTTTCACGGTCTTGGAGTCCAGTAAATGATGATAAGGTAGTTAGTTGACGTGTTATGTTTATGGAAATGTTTTACATTAATCTTTCCCACATACCTAGTTTTTCTTCCATTGCATCCTTACTGTTATTTGATGACAAATTCCAGTAGGATCGAGGCTTAAATTTTGTCAGCAGTTCTTTATTATTTGTCTGATGTGTTTCATTGCATACTAATTTGCAGGTCATCTCTTCATGGCAGAGGGTTGAATAGATTCTGGTCTAACATTGAAGGTTACCAAGGGCCACTGCTTATGCTGTTTTCTGCAACTTCGGGAGATGCCAGTGATAGTAGAGCCAACGAGAGAAAATGGACTGTGGGTGCACTCACAAATCAGGGTTTTGAAAATAAGGATATCTTTTATGGAAGTTCGGGAAATCTATATGCTATAAGTCCAGTCTTTCATGTGTATCCACCTACAGGTATGTAACGTAGAGGAAAAATGGAAGGAGAGATACTCTGAATATTTTCCTTTCTCAAAATTGCTGACTAGATGTCTCTGAAACTAACCGTACATGAACTATGATCATTGACAGGAAAGGAAAAGAACTTTGTGTACAGCCATCTGCATCCCACTGGTAGGGCATATGAGCCGAAACCAAAGCCTGCGGGGATAGGATTTGGCGGAAGTATGGGAAATGAAAGAATTTTTATTGATGAAGATTTTTCCAAAGTTACCATCCGCCACCATGCAGCTGACAAAACGTATCAACCTGGCTCCCTCTTTCCTGATCAGGTATAAAAGTTATGTTGCAAGCAGTTGAAAGTTATTAACTGCAATTTTTATAAAAGAAAAAGAAAAAGTATGGACTTAAGGGGTATGCTGGGTTAATTTAATGTAATAATAATTGAGCGTAAATTGGTGCAATCAGGGCTTCCTACCTGTTGAAGCTTTGATTTCAGAAGTTGAAGTTTGGGGGCTTGGTGGGAGAAGCGCCAAGGATGTGCAAGATTCATATAAGAAGAGGGAACAACTTTTCACTGATCAAAGACGAAAGGTAATCCATCTTACATCAGACAAGGGCAATATTTGCATCTTTAAGTTAATAATGCTTTTTTTTTTTGTGTGCCCCTTGTCCTCATAGGTTGACTTGAAAACATTTGCAAATTGGGAGGATTCACCAGAGAAGATGATGATGGACATGGTCTCAGACCCAAATGCAGTTCGACGGGAAGATCGCTGAATAGACTGCATATGTTATGCTGTAATTTTGCATTTTGCTTCCTGGCTGGTCAACTTGTGATTGTATTTAGAAGAAAGAAGTCAGTTGTGGAGAAATGTCGTCTATATCTCTGTATTTCTAAATGATGGGTGTAAATAAACTCATAAAGGATCATCTGACCGAGACTTGAAATAGGTTCATCTCAGTCATCAGTGGGGATATATGTTGATTTGCATGTAGGCGATGATGTAAAAGAGAGCTACATGAATTCGCCTTAATATACTTTTGGTTAATGCTGTTTTATCGAAAAACAAATTTACACTTTACATATGGTTGCTGCTTCTATCCCAGTTCATTCCATCCAGTCTATGGTTGTATGCATGAGCTGGATAGATTAAACAAGAAATTATTTTGGTTGATGTTATAACGACTGCAAGAACCAATCAGAGCGTCCACCACAAGTCATACTCCGAGTATTCAACATCAACTAATCATTCATATCAAAAGCTTCTACAGTGAAGCAAAAACACAAAAAGACAGAGTTGTCTAAATTGCAACTCCAATACAATAACTCTCTTTTTTCCCAAATGAAACACCGAATGGAAGTCTAACAGACCTGAATGAATACATAAGCAGCGCTCCCCAGTAATATGTTTGATCAAACGACAGCAGGTTACTGCTTTTTCTCTTCTGCTTTCCTCGGCTGAAAGAAACGACACATTGGCAACGTGAGAAAAACAATATATAACAAATAAATCCTTCTAGGCCTTAACCAGAAAGAGCAAGAGGATATGAACAAAACAATTTAAGATATCTTCAAAACATTCTATGGCCATAAATTTTGACAGACATGGGGATTTCGATCAGAACAAATCATTATGAATATATAGCAATAGCAACAATGGTGATTACACCAATAACAAATTGTATGACTGAAAGTTTCAACAGTGCCAGTAAGTACTGAAAAACAATAAAATCGGATCCAACCACCTTTTATTCATTGCATGTTAGATGCTCGACGAAATGCCGCTCTGACGATTCACCCCAAAAAGACCCAGCGAAGGCAAAAAAGATCACAGAAATGTAAAACCTTTACGCACCTTGATACCGGGGGCGGGTTGGTGGAGCTCCTCTGCGGGGATAATGACGGGCCAGGGCTCGCCGGCGTCGCGGAACATCTGCTCGGTCTCGAGGCTCTGACCCTTTTCAAGGATCATGTTCCTGATGTCCTGGGCGGGAGTGGCGGTGGCGTCGAAGACCTCCTCGACGCCGTTGACGAAGGTGACGGTGATCTTGGGCGGCTCGTCGTCGGTTCGGCGCTTGACTTGGACGGCGCAGGAGGGGTTGGACTCCTTGGCCTTGCGGGCGTTGCACTGTGCCAAGAACTCCAGACACGACGCCGTACGCGGGTCCAAGGCATTAAACTCGATCCTCACTCTCGACAGGAACTTCAACATTGTGTTTGTTTTTTAGACTGAAAGAGACACTCTAACTCAGTACAGGTTTCGATACTGAGGTTGAAGACGAGTGAGGGTCTGATGCTCTAATTTTGAGGCTTAAAGCCATGAGCAAGAGTCTGGGCTCAGTATTAGTAATTTGGGCGGACCATAAATAAATAGATCCGTTTGGCACAATTTGGGGGTGCGCCCAACCCAAACAGATTATCCATCACGTGGTTGACTCGTCCGAGTCAAGCGAGGTTAGCCGAGACTCGAATCAAAGTATTGTTCAACATATCATAGAATAATGCTACTCTTACCACATTTGTATACCACATTCTCATACCACCTTATGTGGCAGCTGAGGTGGACAGCCACATCAATTAAAATGATTTAATATTTTCTTTTCTTTTATGGTTTATTCCAGTATATGGAAAATGCTAGGCTTACCACATTGTGTACTACCTTATTAAAGAGGTGAAGTCCATTAATACAATGGAACCCACCTCTATTAGAGAATGTGATATAAAATTGAATTAAACCTAGCATTTTCCAGTATAAAAATACCTTTATTAGAGAGGTGGAGTTAGAGGTGTCAAACGGGCCGGGCCGGTCCATTTAATTTATCGGACCATGCCGTGCCGTGCCGGCCCGGCCCAAAGCCCATGTCCATATTGAAACGGGCCAGGCCGGGCTCATGCCGTGCCCGTGCTCGTGCTCGTGCCATACTCGGGCCCAAGAACCAATCCATTTAATTTGAATTTTTTTCACTTCATTTTTTTTTCACTAGATAATTCAAATTATAAACATTAAAAATATAATTAGAGTCAAGAAATGATGAACTATTTGAAAACATTAATCAATAAAACATCCAAACAATATGAAAATGGCAAAGGGCAAAAAGTGTCAAACTCTACAAAGTCCACTTCAACTTTTCATCTTTAAACAACTTATTATTTTATATGTAAAATAATGTCTTGCTTTAATTATAAGAGAAGCATATATGTCATATGTACTGATTAGATATCAAGTCCAATATTGTTTAATTAATTTGTAGTTGATATGTTTAATTAATTAAGGACCCAAGTAATTTCCCTAAAATGAAAGACATCAAATATATATTTATGATTTAAAAAACATATAAATAATGACATTAGATGTCAAATTATTGCATTTTGACTTTTGAGAAAGAAAAAAATGTTAAGTGGGCCGTGCTTAGGCTCGTGCCGTGCTTGAAGCGTGCTCGGGCCAAGCCCGGCCCATGTCGGGCCATGGCCGGCCCGGTCCATTGGACCTCATTTTTTGATCCCGGCCCGGCCTAAGTTTTCGTGCCTTGTGCTCGTGCCGTGCCGTGCCTCATTTAAATGGGCTGGGCTCGTGCCATGCTGGGCCGGCCCATCCCGTTTGACACCTCCAGGTGGAGTCCACCAATATAATATAACCCACCTCTATTAGAGAATGTGATATAAAATCGTATTAAACCTAGCATTTTCCAGTATAAAAATATGGTAAACTTACGTATATAGACTTATAAAGTGGGCCTAAAAAAAGAGAGAAGAATATAAATAGTATTATAAAACGAAATCAAAAGGCAGGCGTATATTTTATTTAACCATTTCGATATAGGAACGCAATATGAAGAAATAAGTTGCCGCAATTGATTATGACATTATGTAGGCTTCCACTCAGAAGAAACTCTTTATGCTCCAAGATCAGGGTGAGTAAATATAACAACAAAATTAAACAAATTTTGACAAAACCAAGCTCAGAGAGAATTTTGAGCCACACAGAAAGGGCTCTCCATTTGAAAAATGTACATACAGGAAGGAGCTACGTTAACTGCTAATCTCCCTATCCATTTTCATTCTCTTTGTACCGTGCACCTCCGGTGCACTACTACTACCCCGAGGCTGGAACGACGCATCATGCTGGTATGCACAATTTGCTCCATGGCGGCATCCCCTTGAACTATTGAAGTATATGCATGGCTTCATTATCTTAGGTTTTGAATCTCTTGATTTGTAGCCATTATTGGATTCCTGGTTTATAGCTGAATGGTCGCTATGACGGTTACCAAATGGTGGAAAGCTGTCATGCCTGTCTCCTCCATGTTGCTGAATCAAGCTTTTATAATAGTTGATGTCCTTTGCTGGTGGAGGTCCAACAGCAGGTGGAGAAGGAACTGAAATTGCTGCAAGGGGAGGTGGTCGTGCATCAGGAAAACGTCCCATTCCAGCAACATTTGGTTGAGGGTAGAAATGTCCGCTTGATAGAGCAGTAGATGAAGGTGTGCTGCTGCTTTCTGTTCGGTTAATGTGAACAGGAGGTGGATCTGCTATGGACATTTGAGGTGGCCTTGTCATTGGCTGTGGATCTTTAACCAATTTCTCAATCATTTTTGGGTTGCTCAGAATCTTAATGAGCAATTCATGGTCAATCATATTTCCATGCTCATTGCTATTCACAATTGCACCAAAGGCGGCAGAGGCAGCAGCTACAACATCCGGTTCTACACCAACAGGAATTCCAGCTACTGGCTTATTTGAAGTAGGGTGGCTTCTATTGTTAGGTACAACACTCTGAGATGGAGCTGCAATTCCCTGAACCGATAGAAAGGACTGTGAGCTTGTGTGAATGTTAAACGGTGCCATGGATGCAGATGATGTGTCGCCTCCTACATCTTCATCTTCAATGGAAGTGATAGGTATCACAGGAGGTTGCACGTCATTATGACCAGAGTCTTCAACATCTGCCAAAACAGAGGGGCTGTATGGAAAAAAAAGTAAAATTGTTCAGTTCAGGAGTGGGTGAAACCCACGAGCAAAGTTGTAGAAAGCAAAGTAAGTGTCGAACTTTAGAGGAATGGCAGATGGGCGTGGATAAACTGCTTCCAGTACTCTTATCTCTCTCTGATTTTGAATCTCCACCTCTTTGCTTTCTTCCCCACAAACCACTTGCCAAGTGAAGTTCAGCACAACCTGTGAAAATTTAGTATTATTGAAAACCAAATTTTATGCACCAAAATTTCAAACTGAATCTTCAATGCCATAAGTTCAGCCCAATGTAAATTAGTCAAGATTAAAATCTAAACCAATAGATTAATTTACCCTAGGAGGGCATCTCCATTTGATTAAGGGAATTTGAGACACGTTAATCTGCAGCTGATTTGCCGAATACGCTCCCTCAAATCCAGGGGGCAGAATGTCATCCGAGCCTGTGCCAGATGAATGTGACAACCACGATGCCTTTGCTTGGAGGTGATCCTGAGCACTCAACCCAACTTGTGAAGGAGATTCCTCCAACAGAAACAGCTTAACCTGTTTAACAGAGAAGCATCAGTACAATAACCATTTACGCTGATAGTGACATATCATCATACTTGATCATCATTTTTTACAAACTCCTTCCTAATACTGAGCATATATACACAGGGAAACTTCAGGAATCTTTTGCCTAATGTCTCATTTATTTTGAAGTTATAATAGCACTAAAATCTTAAATATCAGAGAAAATCGACTAATAACATGAGTGCAGATCAGTGCATTCCTTACTCCCATTCCCATCTTATATATTTCAAACACAGATTTAGGATGGAAAATTTTGCAAAACTAATATTAGGCCAATGATATACGCACTCCATTTCAGATTTAGGAAACAAGAGAAGGCCAACAAATTTTGACGCACTCTAATATAAGAAAGTTCACCAAACAATCAAACAACTTAGCAGTAAAGAAGTGGAAGACACATTGCCATAAGCCCCTCTGTTGAACAGGTCAAAGTAACCATCTAGATAGTTTCAAATAGAAACTGTTAATGCTGTGTTAAAGAGATAGGGATCCTCTCTGAATGTAGTTTGATGGTTCGTGAGTGATGTTTGACTAAATCATTTACTTGAAGGTTGAACCCCAACCCCAACCCCAACTTCCAAAAAAGACAAAAAGGAAAAAAAGGAAAAGAGAGCAACAAGCAATCTTTTCGTCCCAATCTAAAGACAATTGGTTTAGATCCCCATCCTTTCTAAGGAAGACAGTTCATTGCATCTTGATTTCTCTCATGACATTTAGTCTCTCTGAACAGAAACCAAAAACAAAAATGTGCATGCCCAGTTCCTTGCCAACATAATGCAGATCTTCCATGGCCACGCATAGGGCTCACACCAGACTACTTTTGAAAACCTCCCCTCCATGATATATATATATATATATATATATATATATATATATACACAATAGTAGATGAGCTAGAGGTCTCTTCCACCAGGTAAATATTAGATGGTGATCCAGTTAAGGAAAAAGAGAAATGGACATGCTGAGAGAGGATTGACACTTTTCAAACCAGGTTTTTGAGACTCTTTTTTGCATATTGGCAATGCTGAAGATTATATCCTATGTCCAAGCTATTTCTTTTTAAGTCTCAAGCCAGACCCTGCACCTCTCAATTACAACATCACATAACTAAGGGCTGTACACAAAAACTTGTATCCTCTCAAGGTTACAGATGAATGCATATCACACAATCTAGGAGGTGATATTCATACTAAATGGATGGCCAACCAAGACCCCAACGACGTTTTGCTTTGGAAATTTTGCTTGTCCCAGCAGAGAATGTGGAAGTAATCCTTATGATTTGGCCCTCCCACGTTGGAAGTGGCTCAAGTCTTGGGCTTATTCTCCTCTTCAAACAAAAAGAAAAGAGCAACTTTAGAAGGAAAAAGATAACAAGGCACACACTTCTGAGTTGCTTAACTCCATGCTGATGCAAAGGCACATTAAACTTTTGTAAGAATAGAACCAAAGAAACTTTAAACATAAATAACCTAATGATTCAACCTTTCCCAAACACAAGATCCTTTTCTAAATTATGACACTCGCAAGCATTTTAACAGCAACGTAAAAAATACATAAAACTAACTAGAAAACACCAAATAAAAAGTAAATTTTATGACACCAAGACTATTATCCATTAACGGACACGACTACAGCACAGACTATCAAGGCAAATAATTCAGAAAGAGAAATGCAGAAGTGTTCACAGTATTTTAATGCATTCCAATCACAAAGAGCTTGACAAAAAGTATGACATCGGGATACCCACAAGAAAATCAGGTTAATGCCACTTCCAATACAAACTAAACCATAGAATCAATAAGGCTATTAAAAAACAAAGTACAGCAAAAAAGTACACACCATGACCAGGTTTACGATAACCTTCATGCCATTAAGCTCCAACATTATGAAACTACAAATCATATGCTATTATATGGTATGATTTTTGCATTCATGTATATTGATTTTAATCCTCATTTCATATTCACTTCTTTTTATATTGGAGAAAGGGCCACCATCTTCAAGAAGTCTTCAGAAATAGTTCCACTGCTGTTATTTTGCAGATAAGAATGCATTTGTATCCAACCTCACGTATAGTTAGATTCTTCTTCAAGAGTTGCTAAAATTTCAAACCTTTAAGTCACTTTTTTCTCAAAGAATGATTGATAGCTGCAATAATCTAGCGACTAAGATCAATGTTCATTCTTCCTCTAAAGATATGTTAAGTGATCCAATTCGTTTTAGCACTGTGCCAATTGATTAATTCATCGACACAACCCCAAATTTAAGACAATAAGCTTTATGGAAGGATGGAAAGGAGATTAAGTGAAAAGGGCTAACCTTGTTTCATCACCTCAAGTTTTCCTTTTTATGAATATATTTATAAGCTTAAAAAATAAGCATATACTAACTCTTAATGATAAATGGGACTACATGAGTTACAGAGGCTACACATTCGAACATTAATCTATTTTACTTCAAATTGATTGGCTACTGAACACAAAAATAATTGCTTCAAGGAACAAAGACCACTAGAACAATTCATTCAAAATTTGTAGTTTGCATATCATTACCAGTTCCAGTTCTAGTCTCTCAGAAAAGGCTTTCCTTTTTTATATTTCTTTGTCATATGACATTGAGAGTATAACAATTTCAAATGAATGAAAGTATAGACTGGACCATTTGAAATGATGCAATGTGTTCCAGAAAAGCCTAAAATCAGAGGCCAGACCCATATCATAAATTCAAATATATGCTTCAGAGTAACATGATAAACCAAAGTGGGGAAAAGGGAAGAATACATCATAGCAAACCAACTAATATAAATACATATTAAACAAAAAGGCACGATTTTTGGAAGTTCAGTTCACATAGATGATTTGTTGGGTTCATTTTCCCTTTAGCAAACACAAACTACTGAATGGATTATTAGATTTGGTCACTGAATGCAATTTTTACCTGACAAAGATTAACATCTGAAGCCCAAGAAACCCTTTTGAGTTTGTGCGATCCCCGCATATTAAATAAAATACCAAGAAACCTTCTTTTCCTGCTTCGATTCCCAGTATTAGTTACGGGTTCAAATTGAGCAACCAATTTGGGTCCGATCAAAAGGTAAACCCCTACTGCTCTCAGATTCGAAACCCTAGTCTTACTGTGTGGTTCACAGCCCCAAAGCCCTTTTATGACTTAACCCTAACCTAACCTAACCTAACCTAACCCAATTTGCAGGTTTTACGACGAGATCCCAATTGCAGCGACTCTGTGTTCGCGAACGCTGATCGCAATCTCTACGATGCCACAAAGTAATCAAAATGAAACCCTATAATCCCTCTGGTTTTGGGCTTCGCCGTTTTTCTATATATCTCTCCTTTTATTATCCTAATTTTATTTTTATTTTTTTGGGTTATTTTTCCACCTTTCGGTTTTTGTTATTTAAATGAGCGCGTGGAGTTACGGATATTTCTGTCTGTTGCGAACATGCGTCTCACGCGCTGATAATGCGAAGTGGGGTTTTTCATATCTTCTTTTAAACTAGGTTTCGGGTGGGCTAAGATTTTTTGACCACAGCCTTTTGAGTACGAGAATGATGCTTTGCAGTTGCAGTGTTGGTGTTGTACTTGTATGACAAGGAGAAGCAGAGCCCGCCCCGCACGACAGAAACTAAGAGAAACAAGGGAAGCTAGCTCGGCCCAAAACTGTCCCAATCCAAATTTCGTAACACAAACACAAAGATTGATTAGAGTTAGAAGAATTTGCACATGTGTCTGTTCATGTAGGCAGGCATATACTAGGTGGTGAATGATTGCAAATTCTTCTAACTCTCATCAATCTTTGTGTTCTCTTAACTGAAAATTAAATTGGATTGGATTATAAAGTAGAATTGGATCGCATTGGATTACTCTCTGCTAAATGATGATGGCGAGCGGAGCTACCCCTATCGTATCATCAAGTGCTTCTTTACAGTTGTGCTCTCTCAAGCAAATGCAATCCTCAGGTCCCCAACAAATATAAATTTCATAATAGTCGACCAGCCAGCAGCAGCAATCACGGGTAAAATTAAATTTCTGGGAGAACAATTAAATCGGGTGGGATGAGGAAATTCATAGGTCTTGGTAAAGTTTTTTGTTCTTACATAGTTCACAAAATCTTATTGACTTTTGTAACCTCAATTCAATAGATTTAAGCGATTTACTTTTGAAAAAATTCTACAATGAGTTTGATACTGTTATTGAGTTAACGGTTCCATGACGTTAATAATATTTCTCTCCATTCCACCTAGGATATGCCTACGGAAATTCTGTAGAAATGGATTTGGAAAATCGTAATAATATTACGAAATAATGCAAGCAAAGAAATAAAGAAAATTCAGTTTTATTACAATAACACCACACCTGGCAAAAAGCTTTCAAAAGCTTTTACCTTATACTTGCCTCAAACTTTGGATAACCAAGCCAAAGCATCTGTACTAGACCCAAATAATATCACAAGCAGATTATACCATTTGGAAGAAGTTACAGAAAACAATTATAGCAGCGAAAAAAATGTACATGAAAAAGTCACTCACTTTCTTATATTTATAGAAAGAGAAAAAAAACCCCAATAACTAGAGTGGGTTAACTAAGTTGCTATCGAAGTGGAAAAAAGCTAGTTACAATCTTAAGTAGCTACCAGTCGTGTAATCAACAGACTCCAAATTTCCTGTTAAGAACTGGTCATCTGCCACCGTTGTCTTTGAGATGTCTGATTACTTCAACTCTTCACCTGTTCCATTTTCTCTCTGAAAGAAACAGAACTCAAGGTAAGAAATCATGTTAGAGTGCAAAAGACCTTACCTAATATGGAATTATTGCCAACTACTCTGACAAAAGTAATTCTATATGTTACGGACAATTTTGTTGACAGAAAATAGGCACGCTAAGGATGCACAAACTGTTATCATAGGAAAAGCATGCATACCAGTTCCCTTGGCACCCTGCTGTGCTTGAGACATTGACCGCTGGATGCGTGGAGACCCCTGCCTTCCATTTGCTCCAGGTAAGGAATGTCGTTTCTTGATGTAAATGTCTCTGTCTTGCACATCTGGACTTGATCTAGGGGAGGTATTTGCTTGAAGCTTTGCTCTAGCAGATTCTGTCGCTTGCATGAAATGTGGGATAGAACTATTACTGCTGCTATCTCTTGGTTCTTGATCACCGTGTTCCGCAGGTCTTGCCGAACCAAATGAATTCCGTCTC